CTGTTTTACACCTACACCATACTGTTTGAAAGTCCCTCCAGTTTACACAATCACACAAGAGCTCAAGCTATTTAAGTTTTGCTTTTTTTCTTTTTTTTTTTTTTTTACAATTGTATCGTCAAAGCAATTTTTATTCAGTGATTAACAATCAATTTATACCCACATAACAATGGCATTCCTATTGGCAAATCTCTTCATGGGAAAAATTTACCTTGAAATAGAAAACTACTCACCTTCATAGTAGTAAACCTTTCTAAATTTTTTTTAACCCCACTATACAGATTTAACCATACGATTTGCTACATTTAAAATACAACTGCAGAAACCAAACCCCCATGGGCAGACAATCCATAGTCAAATTGATACTTCTCCATAAACTCTTAGACCTCTTCAGAACTTTCTTTCAATCCCAAATACATTCTCCACATCTCCTCTTTGGAACACCAAAATAGCTTGCATAACATTAGATCTATTTCAGAGACCAACCTCCACAGGTGTCATGGGAACTCCCAAATTCACACCTACTACAAAACTGAATTACTGGTCTATGTAATCCATTTGCATACCCATTCAGGTATCATTCAGTTATAGAAAGAACACAAAAACCCAATTGTTTGCTATACTTGGGCATTTATTTTCAAATGACTGCAAATTTGTCAGGATTTCGCACAATCCGCTCATTCAAACAAAGCCGGAATTAACCAATTGTGATTTGATCCTTGCCTGCGATGAGTGAGAATTTTAAATAAAATCTGTTGTGTGAATTGTGTGCAATGAAAATATGCTGAGGAAGTTGAGATAAACCAAACAAGACATGGACTCATTTTGGTTAAGCAAAATAGCTTATTTTCCTGTCCGAGCGATTTGGACAACCTAATCGCTTTGTCAGGAAAAACTCGCTGCTAGATACCCTAGAAATGCTATAACAAAAAATACCACTCTCCATTCCTTATTATAGGTCTTTTTGTCCAAATTTGAGACTCTCTTGCTAAAATTGGGTAATTCTAATAGCATCCTGCTGTGTTCCACTGGCTATCTTTCCCAGTGGATAGCTGGAGGTATCAAGGAGATAATGCAATTAATCTCAGATGACAAGGTGCCAGTTCCCAGAGTTACAATACTCACAATGTGAGGTGTGTGTGCTTATAAGGAGGTTATATGAGAGGATTATAACTTTTTGTGGGGAAACGGTCAGTTGAGTATTCAGAAAGTGTTCTACTTACTAAATAAGTTGCCATTCTTATCTGTAAGTTTCTTATTCAGTAACTGCTTTGTTGTAAATTTAAATTTCCAACAAAGTTCATGTTTTGATATCCAAAAATAAGTCATGTGCTCAAACTCCCACCACTCCTGGGCAGCAGCAATGACTATAGTACACATCAAAAAAGAATAACTGGACATGAGAGAGAACTCCACAGAGCCCCCTCCCCAGTACTACCTCATACGTAATAAGCTATTAAGACTTAAACAAACTTTAATTTTATTAGTAATAAAAAAAAATAGATTTCACATGTTTTAGCAAGACCCACTGTTCATATTAAAGCATTGATTTAATCTTAATAGAGCATAACTTGCTGGGCAGAATAAAATCTTTTATTATATTGTCTACCACCTGGTCTGTTCATAATATGGTAAAGGTGCACCTGAAAGATACATTTATTAGACAAAGACCAGAGTGGAAATTGGACAAGAAAATATTAATTTCGGAAGATAATAAAGAACAAATTGCTAAGGCAATAGATACATATTGGATAGATAACGATAAGGATGGGGTATCACCTATGATAAAATGGTGTGCGTTCAAAAGCGTTATAAGAGGTCACTTAATTAGAATGGCTGTGCACGAAAAAACAAGTAAAAGGAAATCTTTCAGAGTTATATATTGAATTAAGCGAATGCAATAAAATAAATATAACCTCTCCTATGAGAGCCCGAGCAAATCAAATAAGGACAATTGAAGGTAAAATTAATGATATTTTAATAGCTAAAGCTAATAGGAATTTACAATATATGAAAACCAATTTCTATTACAGGGGAAATAAAGCTGATTAACTTCTTACTGAGCTAAAGCACATCAAAAGGCCAAATTAATAAATAAACTAAAACAAGGCAATTATGTAATAATTGATCCAGTCAAAATTGGGGCGGCTTTTAAAGAATATTATGACTTAAATAAACTACCAGTAACAGCAACTCAAGAAGATCTACAAAAATATTTTTTAGATAAGCAGTTGCCCAAATTAACGAACTCCCAACTAAATAAACCGAATGCAGACATTTCAGCTCAAGAAATTATAGAGGCTATTGTTGCAATGAAAAAAAAAACAAAGCACCAGGCCCAGATAGGTTTGTAGAATTTTTTTTTTTTTTTTTATAAAATCTACAAAGATAGGCTTGTTCAGGGTTTAAGGGAATGCTATAATACGGGGAAACTGCCAAACTAGTTGCTAGCAGCCAATATTGCTCCTATACTTAAACCAAAAAAAAATTCAGAAGAGATTGCCAACTATAGGCCGATAGCTTTATTAAATAATGATTGTAAAATTTATGCATAAATTATATCTAAAAGAATTAAAAGTATAATCTCGAGTTTAATATCAGAAGACCAAGTAGGATTTGTCCCCGGGAGAGCATCGTCTAATCATATTAGGAAAATTATAAACACTTATGCTAAGGTACATGCCACAAAAACCCTCTTTCTCACTATGGCGCTCGATGGAGAGAAAGCTTTCAATCGGGTTGACTGGAATTATATGAAATCAACTTTAGAGGCCTTTGGCTTCTCGGGACAGATCCTTTCGGTAATTATGGCACTCTATTCCTCTCCATCAGGCAGGATAGTGGGAGGGGGAATCAGGTCTGATTGGTTTGAAATTTCAAATGGTACGCGTCAGGGCTGTCCACTTTCCCCACTTTACATCATAGTGGTGGAACCACTTTCTCATGACATACATTTGAATGTTAATATAACAGGCTTTCGTAAGAAGGATAAAGAGTTAAAGATAAGTCAGTATGCTGATAATATTTTGTTAACACTACTGAATCGAGCTCACTCGGTTCCAGCAGTAATGGAAGAAATAAATCTGTTTAGTTTTCTTACAAATTATAAACTTAACATTCAAAAAACAGTGGTATTGCCTCTATATATGGATGCGGCTGAATATAATTTCTTAAATAAACAATATGATTTTAAATGGGAGAAGAAAAGCTTTGTATATTTGGGGATAAATATAGTACATGACCCTGTAAACATTATGAGAGCTAATCTAATCCCTTTAATAAAAGAAACTACTCATCTCCTTAAACAATGGAGTAAACTTGAGAGATCGTGGTGGGGAAGAGTTAATTCCATAAGGGCTTATATTTTTCCTAAGATTATTTACTTATTAAGGATGATTCCGATGCCGATACAACCCCACTGGCTAACAAATATCAATAAGATCTTTAGAAATTATATTTGGCTTAACAAGAAGCCCAGAATAGGACAAGACCTTATGTATCTGAAATATAAACAAGGGGGAACAGGATTTCCTAATTTTTTTTTTTTTTTTGTATCACCAAGCTGCCCAGCTGCTGCATACAGTAGCTACATTTAAGCAGGATACACACCCACAAGATTGGCATGAATTAGAGGGAGAAGATATTTCGGAACCACACAACATGGTTAAATTGTTGTGGCCCATAAGAATCCTTGCCCGTAATAAACATAAGCCATGTCAAACAGACAACATAATATTAAAACCCCAGGTTAAATTCTGGACTTATTTAAAAAAAAAAATAGATTTAAAAGATGAAATTTTGCCGGCATTACCGCTCAGATATCTGAAGTGGATAGAAAATTTAGATGTCAGTCAGTGGACTAGACATGGCATTAACAAAATTTCAGATCTATTTGACGAAAACAAGATTATGTCCTTTAATGATCTGTGCACGGTCTTTAGCATTCCGACTTCTCAGAACTTTAATTTTATTAGAATAAAAAGCTTCCTACATAGTGTTATACCTTATTTGAATGAGCATTCTCCAAATTTTTAATTAAATAAGTTGATAAATTTGGAAAAAAACAAAGCTATTAACAAAATGTGTGGAGATAATAAATTCAATTAAAGTGCAGATCCATCCTTCCGCCAAGACTAAGTGGAAAAGAGATCTGCAAATTAAAATTGACCTTAAAGATTGGAATATGGATCTTCAGTCGGTTTACTCCACAGTCCACTGCTTAAATATTATGGAGGCACATTACAAATGAGTAAATAGATGGTATAGGACACCGGCAAAGATACGAAAGTTTTCAAATACTGATAGTCAGGGGTGCTGGAGGTGTGGTGCAGAAGATGCTGATGAATTGCATATATGGTGGAATTGTATACCGTTAAGGAGAGCTTGGGATTGTTTTTTAGTTGAAATTAATAAAATATTGGGCATTACATAAAAATGGGTACCAGAAATGGTACTGCTACATCTAAAATTACCACAACTAGCGAAAGATGAGAAATATTTCCTAATCCACGCATTGATGGCTATTAAATTGTCTATTGCCAGGAATTGGAAAAAGACGATAATAGATTCATGGCAACAATGTAAAGAAGCCATTATTCATCAATGTAAGATGGAGAGAGGAATATCTTCTAACTTCTGTATTAGTACGGAGAAATATAAAATTTGGGATAAATGGATTAAGATCTTGAAAGACCTTTTATCAGTCAAATGACACATGTATCAAAAAATAACAAATTTTTGAGATAAGGATAATAACTCCTGGTTAGAGTAAGTTTTATAACCCATAAACACGCTGTTTTGATTGTGTTTGTATGTTTTTATATTTTATATGTAACACTGGATGATATGTTCATCCTTTGTATGAATAGTTTTGTATTGTTATTGAAAAAAACAAAATATTTATAAAAAAATAAACACACACACACACACACACACACACACACACACACCTCAGACTTCTTAAAAATCAAAATACTTTATTATAAATCCATTAAAAAATGACCAACGTTTTCAGCCCCTCTCTGGGCTCTCATCAGGATCAGTGTTTTTTTTTTTTGATCCTGATGAGAGCCCAGAGAGGGGCTGAAACGTTGGTCATTTTTTAATGGATTTATAATAAAGTATTTTGATTTTTAAGAAGTCCGAGGAGTGCAGCCATCATCTTTTTTTGTTTCTATAATTAGCTTGTCCGCTGGCTCATGCACAAGGCAATATTCAAGGAACACGTGAGTGCAAGGATCATTTTGTCTTTTATATATTTTTATATATATATATATATATATATTTTTTTTTTCTTTGCTATAGCGGCAGTCCTTTTCACACTTTAAGGCCCACTAGATGGTCCATTTAGATTTATATAGCAGTTTTAGTATTTTCTCTCCTGTTTTTTTGATTACTTATAAAATTAGTTTGTTTATGTGCAAGTCTTAATAGCTTATTACGTATGAGGTACTACTGGGGAGGGGTCTCTGTGGAGTTCTCTCTCATGTCCAGTTATTCTTTTTTGGTTTCTAGCTTGGTCCCCTAGGGTTAGGCCCTTCACTAGCTCTATAACCTCTCTCTTCACCTCTGATCTAGTTTTTTCTGGATTAAGGGGTGCTGTTTATCTATAGTACACATCAGCCCCAATACATACAAAAAATACAAAGACAATAGTTACTTGCACACTATCCCATATCCCTAAGTACATTTAAATAACTGGAGGTTGTTCAGTATCATTCAAACAACAGGAACTAGTCTTAAATTAGAGGGGCAAAGGTTTAAAAATATCAGGAAGTATTACTTTACCGAGAGTGTAGTAGATGCATGTAGCTGAAGTGGTAGAGGTTAACACAGTGAGGGAGTTTAAGCATGCGTGGGATAGGCATAAAGCTATCCTAACTATAAGATAAGGCCAAGGACTAATGAAAGTATTTAGAAAATTGGGCAGACTAGATGGGGCGAATGGTTCTTATCTGCCGTCACATTCTATGTTTCTATTTAAGTGTAAGCTCATCTGCCACGTCAAGGCAAACCTCTTCGGTGAATCCTACACCAACAATTCACCTTGCTGCTTTCAGCTTCAGTCCAAAAAAAATTCCCATGAGACAGAGGGGCATTTTCTAAACCCCTATGCACTTTTTACCCCTTAATATGGAACTCATGGGATGGGCGGCAGCATTGTAACACGGCTGTGAGATACAAAAGTGAATACAAACACAAAACAAAGTCCTGCGCTCCAACTCCCACTGCTATGTTTTGGTTTCCATTAAATAATGTGCTGTATTTGTATACTTTGTAATACATTAAAACCTGGTTTCTGTTGCAAATATTTTTTGGCAAATCCCCCAAATGTACATATGTTGGTAAAGGCGTTAAAATCTATTTATTTTAGACCTTACACTGCAGATAAAACATGAAGTGTCAAATTGATGACTCTTCAAAGCCTCGAATCCTTTACTGAGATACTGGAACACAGGCATGGAACATATTGTAATGTAGACTGGAGCTGAAAATTATTTATCTGTACAGCTGTTTTCAGTTTACTACGTATTGGACTTGGGATGTTTGGAGAAGTGCACTATGCGGTTATAAAGACAGATTGCGAAATAGTTAGGATTCAGTGTAAAATATGCCACACTCCTCAGCTACAAATGAAGGGGAAAAAAATATTCCCAAACACCATATGGAGGAAACTTAGACATTTGAACAGTAATAAAATGTCTCTGAAGACAAATTCCTACACTTATCCAAAACCAGAGGATACTTTGTCAGGAGAAGTTCAGTTAGAATCTGTGCTGTTGTGATTAAATCTGATTAATTGGGCTGTATCCTGTGTGGAATCTGGACATCTCCAAAACTATTTAGAAGGCTTGTTTTTCATGACTGTTCTAAAATTAGTTTATGAAGAGTATTGAGTTCCAAACATTCGTCAAAGTGTATGCCTTGTTTTTGTTACTTTTTATTTTAATACTTATTTGGTAAACAAAGAAGAAAAAAATTATATTCCATAAATGTTTAAAATGTAATTTGGATAGCTACTGGGAAGTCTCCACCCCCAAGTGTTTTGATAAAAAATTATCCTTGAAGTGTCCATCTTATATTGCATTTTCAAAGCGTTATATATATATATTTTTTTTACATTTTTTTTTTTTTATTTTGTTTTGAAAACGCAATTTAACACCAACTGGAAGTAGTTAACACTGATAAAGGAATTGCTGTGAAGAAATGTCTACCTGCTCTCTGTAAGTATGAAAGAAGTCAGGTAAGCTCTCTGAGGAGACCATATATAAAAGAAAAACTATACTTCCTATATTACTACATTAATAAGGGCCAGACTGTGACTAAAATTCAACCTGGGTATTTAAAGTCAGAGCAGTATGAAAGGAAGGGGTGGAGAGATCAGAGGTGGGAGGCACATGGTGTCAGCAATGACATGTACACTCACTCCTCCTAAGTGGGCATGTAAGTTTGGTGCCTCTCTGATGTGGAGTAAAAATACCCTGTACTTACAACAATGCAATTGCTTTTAAGGACATGCTTGTGGTGGTTCATGGTGACTTGTATCTAGTGTGCCTTTTTATGTAGGGTACTGAAGTACAAAAACACAACCGGGTTAGGACATGGTGTTGTACATGCATACGTAGACTATTTCCTAGCATAGTGTATGGCTCTAGACTTTGTTTTAATTAATTTAAAATAAAATGATCCCTAGTGGTGCAGTAGGAGCTGTCTGTGCTGTTACTTCCAGTTTTGTGCTGCTGGAAGTATAAAAAGGCTGCTGTGATGGCCTGGTGGCAACACTTTGATATACTTAGAGCAGCTGGAGATCCAAGGAGCAGTACAAGCAGTTTCCACCTGTGAGATGTGCAGGCCACGTGCTCCTTTGTATGTTGACATAAGTCTGATCACTTCAGTGGTCCATGGAGCAGTCGAGAACAACTCTTTGGGCAGGGGCTCCAAAAGGAGCAGTCCTGAATTGCTTTATTAAGGGAGAACCTTTGATTTCACGTATCGACTTTTCCTATGGCCATAATCGCTCATTAGCCATTTTCAGAGTTTCCTGGGTGCCCATTATGGTAACGGCTGAAGAAAACTTAATATATAATTGGACAAACCGCAAAAAACAAAAACAAAGGAGATCCAGCACTTTTACCATGCCTTTTAAAAGATTTTTCCTAAATCACCCTCTCTCCAACATTCAACTATGTGCTAATGACTGCAAAAAGATAACTTTCAGGAAGTGAATGTGTTTTAAAATTTAAAGTATGCAACTACTCTTCTAGACCTTCTGTGATGGAATCTTTGGGGAAAAGCCTGGATTATTTTGAAAACTCACAAAAAATAACATATTTTAGTTTGTAGACAGACATTTAGCATTGCAGAATTTGTTGATGGTGGATTTTTAGCTTCTGTTTTCAATTTGGAGGATGGCTGTCTGGACAGTGCACTCACAGGAGGGTGTTTTTACATTGTAACCACAATTGCTACAATGAATTACTTGTTTCACAGGGTTTAGCTTAACTCGACTTTCTCAAAACAGGGTTGGAATCGGTTTTATTTATTTTGGCACTTTTATGGAAGTGACAGTTCCTCTTTCCTTCACCTCTGTAAACATTTTTAAGGCACTTCCATAGTCATGTAACATTATTGCTCCATGATCATTGGGGCATTTACAGAGTATGTTGTAAAAACACATTTCACCAATAGTGCTGTATGTTTGCATGTACAGTATCTCACAAAAGTGAGTACACCCCTCACATTTTTGTAAATATTTTTATCTTTTCATGTGACAACACTGAATAAATGACACTCTGCTACAATGTAATCAGTGTACAGCCTGTATAACCATGTAAATTTGCTGTCCCCTCAAAATACCTCAACACACAGCCATTAACCCCTTAAGGACACATGACGTGTGACATGTCATAATTCCCTTTTATTCCAGAAGTTTTTGGTCCTTAAGGGGTTCATGTCTAAACCATTGGCAACAAAAGTGAGTACACCCCTAAGTGGAAATGTCCAAACTGGGCCCAATGTGTCAATATTTTGTGTGGCCACCATTATTTTCCAGCACTGCCTTAATCCTCATGGGCGTGGAGTTCACCAGAGCTTCACAGGTTGCCACTGGAGTACTCTTCCACTCCTCCATGATGACATCACGAAGCTGGTGGATGTTGGAGATCTTGCGCTCCCCCACCTTCCGTTTGAGGATGCCCCACAGATGCTCGATAGGGTTTAGGCATGGAAACCTGCTTGGTCAGTCCATCACCTTTACCTTCAGCTTCTTTAACAAGGCAGTGGTTGTCTTGGAGGTGTTTGGGGTCATTATCATGTTTGAATACTGCCCTGCTGCCCAGTCTCCAAAGGGAGGGGATCATGCTCTGCTTCAGTATGTCACACATGTTGGCATCCATGGTTCCCTCAATGAACTGTAGCTCTCCAGTGCTGGCAGCACTCATGCAGGCCCAGACCATGACACACCCATCACCATGCTTGACTGTAGGCAAGACACACTTGTCTCTGTACTCCTCACTTGGTTGCCGCCACACATGCTTGACACCATCTGAACCAAATAAGTTTATCTTGGTCTCATCGGTCCACCGGACATGGTTCCAGTAATCCATGTCCTTAGTCTGCTTCTCAGCAGCAAACTGTTTGCAGGCTTTCTTGTGCATAATCTTTAGAAGAGGCTTCCTGCTGGGATGACTGCAATACAGACCAATTTGATGCAGTGTGCAGCGTATGGTCTGAGCACTGACCGGCTAACCCCCCCTCCCTCCCCCCCCACCAACCCTTCAACCTCTGCAGCAATGTTGGCAGCACTCATACGTCTATTTCCCAAAGACAAATTCTAGATATGACGCTGAGCGCGTGCACTTAACTTCTTTCGTCGACCATGACAAGGCCTGTTCTGAGTCGAACCTGTCCTGTGAAACCGCTGTATGGTCTTTCCCACCGTGCTGCAGCTCAGTTCCAGGTTCTTGGTAATCTTCTTATAGCCTAGACCATCTTTATGTAGAGCAACAATTCCTTTTTTTCAGATCTTCAGAGTTCTTTGCCATAAGGTACCATGTTGAACTTCTAGTGACCAGTATGAGAGTGTGTGAGAGCGAG